TGTGGTATTTGGGTTATTTACTTCTTTTTACTATTTTACCAATAAAATGAGTAACTGTATACATAAATCTTTGACTATTTCCCTAAGAAAGATCCGAAGGAGTGGAATTTCTAGGTCAATTGATGTAAAATCTTTAAAGGTTCTTGATGCTTATTGCTCTAAGGAAATGATACCAATTTACAATGCATGAGTGGTCCCATTGCAGTGCCCTGACCCTCATTAAGCATTATCCCATTGGAATCTTTACCAAGTCCAGTGCTCTTTTCACAATGCCCCTCATGGTGAGTAATTTTTCTTACAGCAGAAATTATACGACCAAATTTAGAAATGTATTCTTCCAAGATATCGACATGGGAAGGTATATTTATTTCAATAGTGCTTCTGCTACTTTAGATTGTTCTATCATCTTGATTTTAAAATTGCCTGCAGAGCATTCAACTTGTTCTTTTGCATCTAAATTACAATACAATTTTGTCTCTGGGGAATGACTTTTTATTTTTGGCAACAGTCGAAAGCCATTTGGAAATCGTGGTAAATGAGATGAGGAGCTGCAGCTGGGTTTGGGACCAGACATGAGGTGTAATTTTATAGAAATGGGATTGAGGTCTTTTCATGACTTGTAAAGGAAAAGTCCCACAGGAATTCTGGGCAGTAGTGCTATCATCAGAACAAGTGCCAAGCCTCCCAGCGTGATCGTTTCAAAGTGACTGCACTTAGGCGGAGGCACAATCTAGCACCTGTAATTATGGAACCTCTTCTCATGACTTCATCGCTACTCCATGAAGAGTCCCAGGGACGGGCATCAACTTACTTCAGAGCTGATCCTTTTCTACCTTCTCTTTTCATCAAGCCCACTTGGGCCTAACGTGATTCTAAGACCAAGACCTAAGGGGAGGGCAAGTCATGGAGTAGCAATGAAAAGAGCCCTCCGACTGAAGTCAGAAAGAACTGGGTCTAAGGCAGTGATGGCGAACCTTTTGAGCTCGGCATGTCAGAATTTTGAAAAACCCTATCTTAACTCTGGTGCCGTGTCACATATAGAAATGTTTTGATATTTGCAACCATAGTAAAACAAAGACTTATATTTTTGATATTTATTTTATATATTTAAATGTCATTTAACAAAGAAAAATCAAAAAAATGAGTTCATGTGTCATCTCTGACACGTGTGTCATAGGTTCGCCATCACTGGTCTAAGGTCTTTACCTTTTACCAGCTGTGCATTAGACCTCATTTGTAGAGCATTCTACTTCATGGGATTGTTAGGAGAAATGGAGAACACATATAACCCCCCCCACACACACACACACACACACCACAGGCATACAAAATAGCTAACATGTGCTGAGCACTTACTCTGTGCCAAATACTCTGCTTTATATGCATGTGGCACAACCCATCAGGTGGCCACCCAGAAGCTATTTCTCATCAAAGCTCCCTTGAGGTGTGGGTGACTGTGTAGCTCAGTACAAGCCAATGAGATTTAGAATTCTACTCCCAGTAGAATTCTGCTGGGAGTTATTGGAAGAGCTTTTACTTTCCTGATGAAACAGAACTGCTGAGTCTGAACTGTCCTCCCATCTCTACCTCTTCCCCCCTTGAACTTGGAAGTGATGACTGGGTATCATAGCCATCTTTTAATCCAGACGGAAAGGCCAGCCCTGGCCAGTTTTGTTCAGTGGTAAGAGCATCAGCCCCCAGACCAAAGGGTCTCGGGTTCACTTCCCAGTTAAGAGCACATACCTGGGTTGCCGGTTCTATCCCTGGCCCTGGTCCAAGCTTAAGCAGGAGGCAACCAATCAATGTATCTCTCTCTTTCTCTCTCTCCTCCTCTCCACTCCCTTCCACTCTCTCTAAATATCAATAGAAAAAAATATCCTCACTCCTTGGGTGAGGATTAAAAAAAAAAAAAAGATGGAAAGGCCAAAGGAGCACCTCTGGAATTCTTGGTATGTCAGAAAATAGCTACCTGTTTGCTTGTCACAGTTAGTTATCATTACTTGCAGCTAAAAAATTCCAATACACATACACACAGTGTCCACACATAATAGATGCTCAACAAAGGGTTTCTATTTACACTCATATTCATATACAATTCCTCCCCTAAAGAACTAATGATATTAATAATGGTTGTCTCATATTTATGAAGCACTTGGAATTTTTCAAGAGATTTTCACATCTATTTTGATATTTGATCCTCACAACTCTGCAAAGAAGTCAACTTTTTACCCTAAGACTCTTCTTAATTGCAAAAGGATATATAAAAAGAATTTTAGAATGCTTACATGTGACATATAGACTTGCCTTCACTTCTCTTTCCGTCCTTCCTCCTTCTCTCCCTCCCTCCCTCCCTCCCTCCCTCCCTTCCTTCTTTCCTTCCATGCCAGTCCTGGGCCTATTTTTCTCAGACCATCCCCTAGCTCTCTCCAGTTCCCTGTAACATAGGGAGATTGATCCATTCAGCCTTCGAATTCAGGCTCTAAGATATCTGACTTCAGCTGAGTTTGGCCAAGGAGAGGTACTAGCAGACGACTGTGGATAGGTGGATGGGGGAGGTGTTATGCCCAGATTTCAAGATCCCCAAGGAAACCACACCAGGGAACTAGCCAGTCCGATGCAAAAGCAGAGGGTCTCTTATACAAGCTCGCTTGGTCCCCCCCTTGCCTCCATTACTGGGTGCAAGAGAGAGCCCCGAGTCCCAAGAGAACAAAGAATTTATAGGGCTTGGGGCCGGGGGTTGGGGCAGGGTGCAGCTAGGGTCTGGTTACACAAAGACAGGGGGGGTGGCCAGCATACTTTGGGCCTTGGGCTAGTCTCCCCCGCCTTCCCATTGGCCGATACACTCTGCGGCTTTTTTCTTGGAAGAGGGGTTAAGGACACCGCCATCAGTCCAGCTATGTCCTTTCATTCCCGCCTTGTCTTGGAACTTCTGGCTCAATCATGAGACGGACTGCATTTCTATTCCACTGTCGCTAGAGGCCCGTACTGGGCACACAGAACTATCAACTGAACTATTCTTATAAGCTTAACAAATGGTCCGGTGGAAGGGAAAGAAACCATTTTAGCTTTAACAACTTCTATTGAAATAGGATTTTTCTTCTTAAAATTCCTCCATGGCTATCAAAAAGCCAAATCAAGATTAATTTATCTACTGTCCTGATGTTTGCATAAACACAACAAGAATGGTAACTGACTACCTTTGCTGGAATTTCATGGTTGAACCTTAATGTGCCCCGTAGGGCCCGGAAGCCAAGCCATCCAGCTGCCATCAGGCCTGCCTGCAGTATCTGCTGAGTTAGGCGAATCCCTCACCTGTAGCAACTCCACCTGAGCCCACACTCTAGGCTTTAAGGCCCATCTCAGTAGCCCTCCTACTCGTTGCAGCCCAGAGTGTGTGGGGGCTCCGCAGGG